CTCTGCTGCAGTGGCTGCTGGGAGATGAGGAGGAGCCTGAAGACCCACCTGAACCTTCTGGCTCCGTGAGTCCAATTTTACATGAACACGTGGTCCTTGTAGATCAGGACTGAGGAACTGGTCCTGGTAGATCAGGACCTAGGAACTGGTCCAGGTAGATCAGGACCTAGGAACTGGTCCTGGTAGATCAGGACCATAGAACTGGTCCTGGTAGATCAGGACCTAGGAACTGGTCCAGGTAGATTAGGACCTAGGAACTGGTCCTGGTAGATCAGGACCTAGGAACTGGTCCTGGTAGATCAGGACCTAGGAACTGGTCCTGGTAGATCAGGACCTTGGAACTGGTCCTGGTAGATCAGGACCTTGGAACTGGTCCTGGTAGATCAGGACCTTGGAACTGGTCCTGGTAGGTCAGGACCTAAGAACTGGTCTCAGGAGAGTCCAGTAAAGGTGACTCTCTCACTGTGACCAGGATGAAGAGGACTTCCTGTTTGAGAAGGGGGACCTGAACCTTTGGGCCGAGCCTCTGCAGTGGGTCAAGCTGCTCCACCGACACCTCAGCCAACTGAAGATGGATCTGAACCAGGACACCAGAACCACGGAGTCTCACCAAGTCCACCTTATCCGGACCAAGGCCCAAAGCAAGGCTCTCAGGTCCCAGCAGGCCCTGGACCAGCTCCCAGCCCTGCCCCAGTTCTCCTGCACCGTGGAGCACGCCCGGCTGACGCTGCAGAACCACAGGGCCCGCTTGGTTCTGGATGTCCTGGAGAACGTGAGCTCAAAGAGTTAAAGAGCAGAACTGTTAGAACTCCGAGGGTCTCATGATCCCCCCATCCTTCACAATAAAATCAGCTTTTAATACAAACTGTTGGGTTCACTTTTCAAAATAAAGTTCTGTCAGCTGCTTCCTTCGAACCACTGGCTCAGCAGATATTTTGCTAACAGACTCCTGTTCCTTTCTGTGGTGGGGGTCATGGTTTTGGTAGATCTGAATGGACCACCTGAGAAAATAATGAGATTAAGTTTAGTTTTTATTGCAGATGTTTTTCTCAGTTGTTTGTTTACACCGAGGCTGTAAACAAACAACTTACAGCTCTGACATCATAAAATACTGTGATCACATTAATACTGCATGTATGAAGTGTGAGTGGTCTTTGTCAGGTGGGACAGGAACAGGCTGTCGTTTTAAATATTATTGATCATATATATGTGGCAAACATCCTAAACTTATTGTATAAATATAATTATGGTAAATCTGGGACCAGTCCTGAGTTGATTTTAAGTTTCAGATTCAAAGATTTGTTTCTTCTCATCTTTCTGAATAAAAACTTTTCTAAACCTTTCTAGACTTTTCTTTACTCAACTTTAGATCTTTTATATTCTTTTAAAATCTTTTGACGTGACGTTCAGAACCTGATTTAAATGATTAACAAGCTTCTGCAGAACATGAAGAGGTGGTTTAGTCCCTGGATCAGGTGTGTTGGAGCAGAGAAACCTTTAAAACACACCGGATTGTGGTCCTCCAGGACCAGGACTGACCACCAGAGTCCTTCCTGCAGGGACTGGTGCTCCTGGTTCTGAGCATCTTTAAGACAAAGCGTCTGAATCAAAGTGTCATCTCAGCTGGCACCAGGAGGGGGCGCTGCTGTTCTTACTGCAGTTCAGAGGTTGTCCATGTGGGGGCAGTGTTGCTGCTCTGCACCACAGTCCTGCAGTTTGAAAGAACTGAATCAGGAGGATCAAACATGAAGGATTTAACAGTTTCAACAGACGGTGTTAGCAGAACCGAACGGCTGCAGGAGGTTCTGAAACAGTTCTGGACTCAGACTCAGAGTCCAGATGGTCCACAGGCAGAAGATCAGGAACATCTAAACAAGATCTTTGGTTCTACTGCTGTGTTGAATCAGATTCAGAAAACCCAGAGTCCACCACAAAAAGACCAGAAGTTCTTCCAGAAACAGTTTTCAGGGTGTGGAGGGGCAGAGGGCTCAGCTTTCAGGGGTGTGGACATAAAGGACCAGAGGACCAACCAGAGACCGGTCCTGCAGACTTTAGGTTCCCTCCTCCTGGCCTCAGGAGCCTTTAAAGGCACAGGACCTGAGGAGGTCTAAGGTTCTGGGCTTCTCTGGGRCAGGAAAGACCTGCAGACTGAATAAAACCCAGACCTGCTGGGTCCTCTGAGACACAGAGTCCAGGATCAGATCATGTCTGCAGCCCTGCTGGACCTGGACCTGGACCTGGATCTAGACCTGTTTTACATGGTAAATATACCTTTAGTCTGGTTCATAAGATAAAGTTTTTTATATAAAATAATGATTTATAAAAGATGTTTCTGAGAAAAACAGTTAAATTTCATGTTTTTATCAGAATTGTTTTTAAGTGTTTTATAAGTTACATGTGAGGCAGAAACTGAGGCTGAGAGCTTTCAGCTAAAGTTTAGCTGATCGTTTTAGGTTTTAGCTGATAGTTTACAAAGTTTCAGCTAAAGTTTAGCTGATTGTTTTAGAAGTTTTCAAATGAAGTTTAACTGACAGATAAATGTCAGCTGAGGTTTAGCTGATAGTTTTAAACCACCCTCTCCTGTCTTTCAGAATAAAAGCCTGGACATGAACAGGTTGCACTACAACAGTCTCGTCGACCAGAAGGCTGTCAGGTCTCCGGTCTCGGCTCCTGGTCCCGTGTCTTTGTCTCCGGTCTCAGCTCCTGGTCCCGTGTCTTTGTCTCCGGTCTCGGCTCCTGGTCCCGTGTCTTTGTCTCCGGTCTCGGCTCCTGGTCCCGTGTCTTTGTCTCCGGTCTCGGCTCCTGGTCCCGTGTCTTTGTCTCCAGTCTCGGCTCCTGGTCCCGTGTCTTTGTCTCCGGTCTCGGCTCCTGGTCCCGTGTCTTTGTCTGCAGGAGTTTTCCACAGGAAGTGGAGCGGTAATCTGGAGGCGCTGACCCGCCTCTCTCTGGACTTCTGCTCCACAGAGAACCATGATCCATCCAGCCTCATGAACAAGGAGAACAGGTTCCAGGACCGGGTCTACAGCGAGACCGGGGACCGGCGAGTCCTGCCCCAGAAGTCTGGGTCTCAGGTGAACTCCACCCGCTACAAGACGGAGCTGTGCCGTCCGTTTGAGGAGAGCGGCTCGTGTAAATATGGAGACAAGTGTCAGTTCGCCCACGGCTACCAGGAGCTGCGGACCCTGAGCCGACACCCCAAATACAAAACTGAACCGTGCCGGACCTTCCACACCATCGGGTTCTGCCCCTACGGACCCCGCTGTCACTTCATCCATAACGCAGAGGAGCGGCGCCCGGCCCCCCTGACTAACGCCAACCTGCAGGGGGTCCAGAAGGTGGAGCAGACCCCCTACAGCCAGAGACCAAAGCTCCGTCACAGCTTCAGCTTCTCCAGCTTCTCCAGACACAGTGGACTGGACTGTCCCCTGTCCCGGACCCCAACACCTCCCAGCTTCTGCAACCAGCTTCTGTCCCCAGGGTCTGAGGTCCTGTCCCCAGGCACTTCCTTGTCCGTCCCCACCCCACTGGCTCGGTGCAACAGCTGCACCAATCCACCCCCGGTCTTTTACGGGACATGTCCCCCRTCCCCTCAGACCTACAGGAGACACCTGGAGACACTGCGGGGGCTCAGCAGGTCCCCGGTGTCCGAGCCTCCCCCCAGCCCTCCAGACTCCCTCTCGGACCGGGACAGTTATGGGTCCTGCAGTTCCTCCGGGAGCCTCAGTGGCTCCGAGTCCCCGAGTCTGGATCCTGGGAAACGGTTGCCCATCTTCAGCAGACTGTCCATTTCTGAGGACTGATTCTGTTCAAGGACCCCCCAACAGGTCCACCTCCAGACCACCAGACTCAGCACCAGACCCGCTCCCTGTCAGAGGGGTCAACTGACGGCTTCACACCCAAGCTGCATGGGGTCTCCTGGACCCTGGACCTGGGATCAATCTGGACCTGGTCCCTGACCTCAGGACCTCAGACCTGCTCTGGATCAGAGGGTTCAGCTGGTTGGACTTAAAGGGCTGGTCCAGCTGGTTCTGTAGTGCAGCTGTAAAGAAATATCTTACCTGTTGCAGATGGTTTGGAGAACCGAACCAGGTGAATCTGACAGGACTGATGAGCTCACGGCTAGTCAGATAAATGTTTGTTTCAAACTGCTTCATGAACGAGGGGAACTCTAAAGGTTTGGTAAAAAGTTGCAGTTTTGAAAACTGGAAGTGTTTTGAAATGGTTCTGATCCACTTTGAAAGTGGTCCTATTCAGACTAGCCATTAGCTCATCAGTTCAACCCAGGAAAATCTTAATACGGTCAGTGTTAGAGTCAGTGTTAGAGTCAGTGTTAGAGTCAGTGTCAGTCTTAGTCTTAGTGTCAGTGTTAGGGTTATAGTGTTAGTCTTTGTGTTATTGTTCAAACTTTAATATTCCACGTTATGTGGAACCTCATTTCAAAACAGTGTGAATATTCCTTTAAAGTATTGTGTGTGTGTGTGTGTGTGTGTGTGTGTGTGTGTGTGTGTGTGTGTGTGTGGTGACATCACTGCTAACACTGTTGATGTTGTTGTTTATGGCCTATTTAATTTATTTATTATCTTGTGTAGAAAAACAAATGTTTGTTTTGTGTCTGAACTGTATTTATGAGATAAAGAAGCTAAAGATTTATAATTTATGATCGTCTCTGTTAACCTACAGAAAACTGAGTGTTTCTTGTTTTCACAGTAAAACTCATGAACGTTTTGTTTTCTTTTTAATTATATAAAAAATCTTAATTTAAAACATATTTATTTAGTTAATTTGTTTACATTTATTGAAAGCACCGTGTGTGATTTCTGTCTTTTAGCTGTTAGCACACCTGAAGGCCTGTCTCTGATGGTTTTAGCAGAAAGTGGAAAACGTTTGTAAAAAACCTCCAAACTTGACTTCTTGTTGCTGATCTGGATCAGAACCTGAAGAACTGGAGTCAATAAAAGAACCAAAACGTATTTTTTCTCCAGTTTTTGCAGAAACCTGACTGTGATTCCTGCTACATGCTAATAGATGCTACATGCTAACAGATGCTACATGCTAACAGATGCTACRTGCTAACGGATGTAGCTTCTGTTAGCCCCGGTGGTTTTATTAGGCTTCACTGGTTTGTTTTTTTAAAAGGAACCAAAAAAAGTATTTTTTCTACAGAATATTTTTATATCCAAGTTCATCTGAATGTAGTTTTAGTTTTGAAGGATTTTCCTCTCTGAGTACTGTCAGGCTCTGTTTTTGTTGTACTTTGGTTTGTAGAAATAAATCGAGCTTTGAGGAGGAGCATTTTACGGTTGTACATAGTCAGTATCACGGCAATGAGTACTGTGTACTTTTGACTACTTTATCAGAAGTAAAACGTTTTGAATGTAACAAACAGATTTGTGTTCAACTCTTTGTTTTGTGTATTTTGTATTTTTTACGTCACATAAATAAATCTTTGGAAAAGTCTGATTTCTGCTGAAGTGGGAGAAGATGTTTTAGTTTGAGGTCAGACTGGAACCAGTGGGAACTTCAGAAATGTCTGAACTGTCCCTTTAATGTTCCACCTGATTTATTGGTACTTTTACTGATATTACTCCGACCCGCTTTGTTTCCAGGTCAGAACTGACAGAACACACTTCAAATATTCAGACTGTCCCTTTAATGGTGAAAGGGACAGCAGCTGTTTCTGGACAAACATGGAGCTGCAGAGGGGGGTTGGTTTTCTGAAGGCTTAGAACCTGGACCCAATGAGGTCCAGGTTCTGGGTTCAGTTTTCAGTCAGTGTGTTTGAGCATGCCTCTCCTACATGGACCTGTTTTTCTGCAGCAGTCTTGGGGGTTGACGGGGTCCGGAGGTCCCACAATGACAGGAAAGCCCTCTGAGTGGTGATCAGGACAGGATAAGCTGGACTTCCTGTCCACCATCCTGTTCCACCTCGACTGGGTCCGGCTGTTTTTCCTCTCTCTGACGCCTTCTGTTTGTGTTGTCCTCTGCTGTCCTCGTCCTGGTGTTGTCTCTGAGTGGACCAGATCCAGAGGTTAGAGCTTCAAACTTTTCACACTTGGTCAGTTCTCGAATGTGAACCGGTGGAACCAGGTCCAACAGAAACCAGCAGGCAGATGAAGTTCTTTGGGTTTTCAGTTCTTAAAGTCTCTGTTCAGTATTCATCTATCAAATGAAGTGTCCATTTATTTCATTTAAAAAGAATTCAAACTAAACTGTCCAACAATTCCAACCACTGACTAGAGTCAGAGCTTCATTTCTTACCCTGACAGTCCTGGACCAGGACCAGCACCACTGACTACAGAGGCCTCCCAGAAACAAGGTCCTGGGTTTTACCCTGGTTTGGACCTGGAGTCCTCATCACAGGCTGGGTCCAAACTCAGGGTCTCAGTCCAAACTGAGGGTCTGGGTCCAAACTCAGGGTCTGGGTCCAAATTCAGGGTCTGAGTCCAAATTCAGGGTCTGAGTCCAAATTCAGGGTCTGAGTCCAAATTCAGGGTCTCAGTCCAAACTCAGGGTCTGGGTCCAAACTCAGGGTCTCAGTCCAAACTCAGGGTCTGAGTCCAAACTCAGGGTCTCAGTCCAAACTCAGGGTTTGAGTCCAAATTCAGGGTTTGAGTCCAAACTCAGGGTTTGAGTCCAAACTCAGGGTCTGAGTCCAAACTGAGGGTCTGAGTCCAAACT